GGGATATGGGAGAGGGGATATGGGAGAGGGGATATGGGAGAGGGGATGCGAGAAGGGATATGGGAGAGGGGATGCGGGAGACGGGATATGGGAGAGGGGATGCGAGAAGGGATATGGGAGAGGGGATATGGGAGACGGGATGCCAGAAGGGATATGGGAGAGGGGATGCCAGAAGGGATATGGGAGAGGGGGTGGGAGAAGGGGTGGAGGGGGGATATGGGAGAGGGGGTGGAAGAAGGGGTGGAGGGGGGATATGGGAGAGGGGGTGGAAGAAGGGGTGGAGGGGGGATATGGGGGTGGGAAAAGGTGGGAGAAGGGATAGGGGACAGGGGAGAAGTGATAGGGGATAGGGGAGAAGGGATAGGGGACGGTGGGGGTATACTGGAAGAGAAGGAGATCAAGCCCCGGCCGGGGAAGGGGGCGGTTTCGGGGTCGGGGGATGAGGGAGGTCAGCGTCAGGCCTGGCTCCCCTTCGCCCCCCACTCCTCCATGAGCCGCACTCACTTCTCCCTCCTCCAGCCATCGCGAGTCGTACTGCAGCCGCCCTTTCTCCGAGTTACGCAAAGCCTCCAACGTCTCCCACCGTTTCTCCTCCGCCGGCATCCTTCCCACCTCCGGCCGGCGGAAGCGGAAGCCCGAGCAGCCGAAACTACTACTTCCGGTTCACACTCGGGCCGCGCTGTCACCATGGAAACTGAGTAAGCAGTTCGGCTTTTCAGGTCAGTACGGTGAGAGACTATATAAACATCCATGAGTGTATTCAAGATGTCCGAAGAATATCAAATCAAGAAAGCTGCTGCCAAAGTCATGTAAATCAATGGTTATTGGTGAAAAAGGTAGGTATGGTGCAGAAGTTTTTCCTCTTGCACTCATCCGGACAAACGCAAGAATCGCACATTTCAAATGATCACAACTCTATAGAAAAGGCTGTTGAATGGATGGTACATTGCCACGAAGCAAGCGAGAGGGATTTTTTTTTTTCCCCCCGTAGTTAGTGGAACAGAAAATGTGGCAGGAGGAGATTTGATTGCTTTGAGAAGTTTTTTTTCTTGCATAGCTTTAGGGCCACACGTGAGATTTTACATCCCAGACAGAATGGTTGAGGAGAAGGCAAAGTCGAGAACTGTTTTCAAACTTAGGCTTCTGCAGAATTCTGTTTATTTCATTTTAACACTACATATAACAAACACAGGGTAATATGAGATATACTAGGCTCAGAGAACCATACAACACGGAAACAGACCTTTCGGTCAAACACATTTGCGCTGACCAGTCATCCCAATCTGATCTAGTTCCATTTGGCTCATATCCCTCTAAACCCTTTCTATTCATGTACCTATCCAGATGCATATAAGTATTGTAACCGTACCCACCTCCACCAGCTCCTCTTGCAGCTCGTTCCATACACACACAGCCTTTCCATGAAAAGGTTGCCCCTTGGGTCCTTTTTAAATTTTTCCCCTCTCATCTTAAACACATGCCATGTAGTTTTGGACTCCCCTGACCTGGGAAAAAGACATTGGCTGTTCACCCTATGTATGCTCCCCATGATTTTATAAACCTCTATAAAGTCACCCCTCCACCTCCACTGCTCCAGGGAAAAAAAAGCCCCAGCCTATTCAGCCTCCCAACTTAAAACCTCCAATCCCAGCAACATCCTTCTAAATCTTTTCTGATTCCTTTTAAGTTTAACATCTTTCCCATAGCAGGGAGACCAGAAGTGAACGCAGTATTCCAAAAGTTGCTTCACCATTGTCCTGTACAGCCATAACATGTCTTTCCAACTCCTATACTCAATGTACTGACTGATGAAGGCAAGTCTGCCAAATGCCTTCTTCACTACCCTGTCTATCTGCGACTCTCCTATCAAGGAACTATGCACCTGCACTCCAAGGTCTGTTGTTCAGCAACACTCCCTAGGCCCTACTATTAACTATATAAGCCCTGCCCTGATTCACCTTATCGAAATGCAACACCTCACATTTATCTAAATTAAATCCATTTGCCACTCCCCAGCCCTTTGGCTCATCAGATCAAGATCCTATTGTACTCTGAGATAACCTTCTTCACTGTCTACTACACCACCAATTTTGGTGTCATCTGCAAACTTACTAACCATACCTCCTATATTCACATCCAAATAATTTATATAAATGGCAAAAAGCATTTGTTCCAGCACCAATCCTTGCGGCATACTGCTGGTCACAGAACTCCAGTCTGAACAACAACCTTCTGCCGCCACACGGTCTTCTACCTTCAAGCCAATTTTATATCCAATTGGCTAGCCCTCGCTGAATTCCATGTGATCTAACCTTGCTAATCAGTCTACTATGCAGAACCATGTAGAACTTCTCACCTTGCTGAAGTCCATATAGACAAGATCTATCGCTCTGCCTTCATTGATCTTCTTTGTCACCTCTTCAAAAAACTCAATCAAGTTAGTGAGACACAATTTCCCACGCAAAAAACTATATTGACTTTGTCTAATTAGTCCTTGCTTTTCTTAATGCATATAGAGTCTATCCATCAGAATCCCCTCCAACAATTTACCTACCACAGACAGGCTCACTGGTCTGTAGTTTGCTGTCTTTTCCTTACCACCTTTCTTAAACAATAGTACACCCGCCAAGTCTTCCGGCACCTCACCCATGGCTGTCAATGATACAAATGTCTCAGTAAAGAGCCCACCACTCCCTTCCCTAGCTTCCCATAAAGTTTGGGATACACCTGTTCAGGTCCTGGGGATTTATTTACCTTTATGCTTTTTAAGACCTGCAGCAGCACCTCTTCCTTAATATGGACATTTTTCAAAGCATCACTACTTATTTCCCCAAGTTCCCTAGCTTCCAAGTCCTTCTGCACAGTAAATACTGATGCAAAATATTTGTGTAGATCTCAGCCATCTCCAATGTTTCCACACGCAGATGGCCTTATTGATCTTTAAGGGGCCTTATTCTGTCCCTACTTACTCTTTTGCCCTTAATGGATTTGTAGAATCCTTTTGGATTCTCCTTAATCCTATATGCCAAAGCCATCTGATGTTCCCTTTTTGGCCTCCTGATTTCCCTTTTAAGTATACTCCTACTGGCCTTATACTCCTCCAGGGATTTACTCTGTCCCTGCTATCTATATCTGACATCTGCTTCCTTATTTTTCTTGACTAGAGCTTCAATTTTTCTAGCCATCCAGCATTCCCTACACCTACCCGCCTCAAACTAACAGAAACATAGTTTCTGAACTCTCGGCATCTCATTTTTGAAGGCCTCTCAGCTTCCAACTGTTCCTTGACCTGCGGACAGCCACCCCAATCAATTTTTGAAATTTGTTGTTATATTGTTAAAAGCTTGTTATTAATGTGCTGCTTTTTTCACTCTCGTTCAATTCTTCCTAACTCCTCCCATGCTTTTTAAAACTTACAAGGATTCATGCATAGATACCAGATCTCAGCAAACAAACCATACAAGAGTGTAAGATGAAAGTTTCAATGATTTGTCTCTCTTTTCAGCAACATTAAAATCAATGGTTAGGTCTCAGAAGGCAAAATGGATGTCAACAGCTTTGAGAGGGTGTAGCTGAGTTTTCACAGAAAATATAAACCATCTGCTCAGACTAAATAAAGGACAGTTTGCAAACATGAGGCCACAGGGTTCCCACTGTCAATGACTGTGCTTTTTCCTGAAATCTTTATACTCCCACATTCTTTCATGTTCCTCTGATTCAAGTACTTGTCTTAATCCCTTTCAAGTTCTAGTGCATTATAAGTAGAAAACTTGTTGACTAAGTTTGATCATAAGGCACTAATGGACCAAATTTCAAAAAAATTAAACTTGCATTTCTCCAATGTTTTCATAGGGGTTTGCAAGACAAGTTGCCATCAACCAAATAACTAAACAACTTGGCACCTGTGTGAACAGGAAAAAAAACAAACTTCTTAACTTGACAGTTTTTAGGTGTCATTAAACAGCCACACAGAGCCCAAACTGTAAGATGTTTGTTAAAACATTGAATTCAGGTATAGAACGCAAAGAGATTTAAAGGATTAATTTAAAAAGAAAAGAAAGCTGGAATAATTAAGATAGAAATGCAATATTTGATAGGGAAGCACAGATAGGAACACTGGAGTAGGAGTAGGCCATTCTAGGTCATTACCAATCATCTACCTCAACTTAATTTCCCAGCACTATCCACATATCCCTTGATCTCATTTGTAACCAGGATACATTTTTTTTTTTGGCTAAGTATCAGTTTCATGGGAGGGTTTCACACTATGAGGTCTAGTGAGTTTTTTTTAAAACCACTTCTTGCCAAACAAACCTCACTAAATACCAACCCCACCCATCTATAACTCCTGTATCTGATTCTAGCCCCATTCTATCACTCACCATATCCAGAACAATTCACCATTGCCAGGATATTCTGAAATGGACTGGCACCTGCACCATCTTGAAAAGGCCGTTTTGTACCCAGACAAGCATTTTTAGCCTGGAGTTGCCCTGCATTGTTCTTGTTCCTGTTCCTGATATTTGCCCCACACACAGCAGACAAGGATAAACAGTTCCTTCCAGGTTTGCAGGAAGGAACCTGAAGATCCTGATGGATGCAGGGTCCTTTTTCCGCAGGACTAGCAGTAGAAGCCACAACACCAGATCATGACAGCTTGATCCATGGTTGTCACCCAGGATCACAGGTAACGGGGAGAAGGCAGGAGAATGGAGTCAAGAAACATATCAGCCATGATCGAATGGTGGAGTAGACTCAATGGGCCGAATGATCTCATTCTACTCCTATATCTTATGATTCTATGGGTTAGTGCAGTCTCAGCTGTCCAGAGGAATGTGCAGCACTATGAAGATTAATGATCTTCTCCATTGTGTCATGTGTCACTGTCCCTTCTGCAATGCCTGACACTCCCTGAGCTACTGCACCCATCTCCCACCAATGTTCACCTTCTTCCACACTCTCAATTTCCTGCATTAATCCTCCCTCACGCGCTGTCACCCACCCCAACATCTGATATTGCAAACTCTGAATGCCCTCTGCACTGCCTAATGACTCACTCAGGACACCTCCCCAGGGTAAGTAATTCCAAAAGCAATGGATAAATACTTGAAAATGAGAGATTTATAGGAAAAGAGCAAGGAGAGTTAGTCTAATTAAAAAAGAGAAACAAACACAATAGACTCCTATTGCTGTGGGGTTTTAAAACTATACCAGACAGTAATGCATCAGCTTTAATATTTTATTGATTTTATCCTTACAGGTGTTTTAATGATTAACAATGACCTATTAGCAATCTAAATATTGGTATACTTAAGTGTTGCTGTATAGAAATACAATATTTTTCAGTGTGCTAACATATTTGTATCATTTGCTGTTATAGATTCTTGACATCCACAAGTTTTCTGCTGGTCAATTATCAGCAAATTTATAAAGCTAGATCTTATAAATGCAAAAGAACTAACGAAATCACATTTCTGTCCAAATAAACTAAATAGCAGTATTCTTGTATTTTAAAGCAGGAATGTTAGGCACAGAATAATTCTGAAAGGACTGGGCAGGCATGATGTCCTCCAGCACTGTTCTGCTCAGATCAGTCTCCCTTTTGTTCCCTGCAGTATAAAATCAATATAATCAAGATCACAGGAAACAAAAACAAGCTCACATCAAAACAAAATGAAATAAACAAAAGGCCAGAGCATGCAATGAGGAAATTTCACACAAATACACGATTCCCTCACTTTCCTCCAACATTTTCTTGAGTGCAGATCGATTCCCCTGAAATATAACAAACTGGAATGTATAACATAGCGGTGAGGGGGGTGGAGTTTGGAGCTTTTCGGGCAGTGAGGAAAACTTATGCTATGTCCTTTAATTAGACCATTTCTTTTTCTCAGTATTAGCTGGAACTTAGTAGTTAGGACTCTCATCTCTGAGCTAGAAGGTTGTGGATTCAGAGATCATTTCAGCAATTTAGCCCTAAGTCTTGGCTGACAGTGCAGTAAGGACTGAGGGAAAACCACACTATTGGATGTAGAGTCTTCTGGATCAGTCACTAAACTGAGATACAATCTGATCTCTTAGGTGGTTGTAAAAGATCTGACTACTTTGATGAAGAGCAGGTGCAGTTAACCTGGTATCCTAGCTAACACTTATCTGTCAAATCATCATAACTAAAAGAAGGTAATCTGGTCGTTATCACTTTGTGGTTTGTGGGATCTTGCTGTATGCATGTTAGCTGCAAAAAATTTTCTAAAGTAATCCTACAACATAACCATTATTTCCTGGCCGGAAGCATATTAGAAATGTTATAAAAGGCACTACAGAAATGCAAATTGAATTTTTAAATACCCTATCTGTGTGTGCGTGCGCGTGCCTGTACTACAACTTGCTGAAAGCTGAACTGATAACAACATAAAGAGGGCAACTGGGCATCTGCGACCTCGGTGAACAACTGTATCAACAGTCTATCTCCTTCACCAATGGTAGTTAAGAATAAAAAAGGAAGGATTAATTAGAATAAGCTATAGAAAGCAGGGGGGGCAGATTTCATTGAGAGAGAGAAAGAAAAATAGCAATGTAACTTAAAACATTTTAAATTTAGCATTTTTTTCAAACAATTGACTACATGCAAGAATGGGGTTGAACAGTTTAAATTGTTCCCCTCAGTCAGAGGTTGATTGCATGACAATTGTATTTCTACAAGTATACCCACTCCACCTTTCAATAAAATGATCTGATTGTTGATTCAACTCCACTTTACCATCTACCTGTAATAACCTTAGGTTCTTGACTAAAAAGGGAGTCAATCTACCCTTTTTTAAAAATATTCAATTAACCTGCCTTGATCCCTCTCTGGGTAGAGTGTTCCACAAATCCACAGCCCTCAGAAAAAATTGTTCCTCATTTCAATCTTAAACATAATTAATACTTAAACGCTAGTTGTAGTGTCTCTTTGTCAAGGGGAAACATCCTTTTAAATCCGTCGTCAAATTCTTACCTTTTATTCTTCTAAACTCCAACAGATATGGACTCAGATCATTCAATTTTTCCTTGAAAGAAAATCTCTTATTCTAGGTATTAGTCAACTAAACTTGATTTGAACTGGCTCTAATGCGTTTGCATTCTTTCTGAAAAGAGACAAAACTGTACACTATTCAGATGTGAACTCATTAATCATCCTTAAAATTGCTACAAAATATCTCTATTTTCTTATTCTATCCCCATTGCAATAAACGTAAATGTTCCATTTACCTTTCGAATCACTTCCTGTATTTGCATACTAACTTTCTGTGATTTACCTGTGCAGCTCTGAGTTCTGCATCCTCTCCTCATTTAAATAATATATTGTCTTTCTATTCTTCCTGTCAAAGTGGACAAGTTCACAAGGAGGTTGAAGGAAAGATGATGTTTAAGAGTAGTTGTTGGTGGAACCATGTAAATCAGCCAACAAATTATGGAGACTTGCAAATTCACAGCATCTCTCAATCCTCTGAACCCGATGTTGATTTACCCATAAATGTTGGTGCATACGGTTAACACGGTGTTCTTCTAATAAGATCCAGTCCATTACTATTTGAACTTGAACTTTTCCCATTGGAAGTTAGCTAAATGTTTCAATTAAGTTCTAATTTGAACAAAAACGTACAAACCTCTTTGCCAAGTTGTGCTTGCAATTTCCTGAAAAGAAAATACAGGTGATACATTTATAACAGCAGTGATTTAGATGAACTAGTTTTTTGATTTGCCTGTAACTGCTCGCCCTGTTTTCCTGTGAGATTCTATTCCTCACTTCACTCTTCAGCTGCTGCAGGTCATATCCTGGGGAATAGCCCCCTTAACTTAATTAAGTCGCAAGTTCATCAGTTCCACACTGTTGTTGCATAATTCCTTAGTAAATTTCTTGCCCAAATAATATAAGGCCCAGAGCCAAGATTCCCATAATAAAACAACATTCTGGAAAAACTCAACACATCTGTCAGCATCTATAGAAAGAGAAATAGAGTTAATGTTTCGAGTCCAGGATGACTATTGCAAAGGAAAGCTTTGTTTTAATTTCAGATTTCCACCATTTGCACTATTTTGTTTTACTATGATTTCCAACTCTGGTTGAATGTATGTTTGGTCACATACCCTACTGTCTGCAACCACCGAGTGGGCATCAACATGTACATTCCTGTTAGTTGGGTAACTTCCCACAACTAAGTGGGAAATGATAAGACTCTTTCGCACCTGATCGAACAATTCTTGACTGTTACGTTTTTTTCCTGTATTTCCATTATGTGGATACTTAACATGAAGTGTTAAAAGAAATGGAAAAACATTTTTAAAAGTCCAGTGATTTATCTCCAGGAGACTAACCTTCAATTTCTGCAGGTCCAGGGCAATCTTGGAAAGTTGATAACCCTACCTGCAGCACTAATGATACTTTGAGACTTATAACAAAGTGATAAGGCCTCAATGAGACCTTGTCCTGGAGTTAAGCAATGGCAGAATCAGCCTTGCTCTATGATGGTTACGCTGAAGACCACATTCCTGTCCAAAAATAGTTCTGTCCATCAGAGTTAATCTCAGTCCACTGTTTATAGCATGAACCTCCTAACTATTCTCACTATTACCAACTAGTAAAACATTTGGTCTACTCTTATTGCATTAGTCTCCTTACCCAAGGAAGACTATACATGCCATGGAAGCAACATAACAAAAGACTCACCAATTCCTTGGGAGGAGGTGCTACGCATTGCTTTCTTGTTTATAATGGCCACTTCTTTCTATATGTGATACCTTTAAGTTCCTTATGCACACTCACACATGCACAATATCTAACAAGGGTCAAGGCTTCATCATCATAGAATCCCTACAGTGTGGAAACAGGCCCTTCGGCCCAACAACTCTACACCAACCCTTGGAGCATCCCACCCAGACCCATTCCCCTATACCCCACCTAATGTACACATCCCTGAACACTATGGGCGATTTAGCACGGCCAATCCACCTAGCCTGCACATCTTTGGACTGTGGGAGGAAACCAGAGCACCCAGAGGAAACCCACGCAGACACGGGGAGAACGTGCAAACTCCACACAGACAGTCGCCCGAGGATGGAATCAAACCCTGGACCCTGGCACTGTGAGGCAGCAGTGCTAACCACTGAGCCACCGTGCCACCTAAACAAACAGCATTTCAGGACAGAAGTCAACACACCCCAGATGGGACTTGAACCCTCAATCCCTGGCTTAGGAGCCCAGTGCCTTATGTGGTAAACTGCCAGGCTGCTGCACAGACAAAGCAGCTAGTCAGGAGCTTTGGTCCTTTGGGGACTGATTGAGCCTACATTTTTTGAAGTTTATAAAGAATGAATGATGACCACTTTGAAAAACAAAGTTCTTAAGAGAACTTTAGAGGGTCGATGTTGACAGATTGTTTCCCCAACTATCAAGTATAAAACAAGGACGTATAATCTCAGGACAAAGGGTTAGATATTTTGGAATGAGATGAAGAGACATTTCTTCCACACTCCGAGGAGCATGAATCTTTGGAAATCTCTAACCCAGAAAGCTATGAATGCTCAGTTTGGAGTACATTCAAGACAAAGATCATTTGAACAGAAATTGCTGGAAAGAATCAGCTTGTCTGGCAGTATGTGTGGAGAGAAATCAGATTTAATGTTTCAGGTTCAATGACCCTTCCTCAGAATCCCCAGTTTTGAGGAAGGGTCATTGAACCCAAAACGTTAAATCTGATTTCTCTCCACACATACTGCCAGACATGCTGATTCTTTCCAGCAATTTCTGTTTTCAGCATCTGCATTCTTTCGGTTTGTGTGAAGATCGTGAGGATTTTGCTCCTGATACCAAGTGTTTTTGATGAGTGTTGGCAGGACAATGGCCTCAAAGTCATCCAGAAGCTGGATAAATGATGGAATTCTCTCTTTGTGCAGACTTTGAGGGTCCACATCATTGATTCGATCTCAGAACTGTTAACTCAGGTCAGACCAGGTTTCATCCTGCAAATCACCATGGACCATATGGGTTACTGCAATATACTGACCAATCTGGTTCAATCTCTACAGCTGCCCATTACAATTGGACTAATAATTATAAGAGGATGCTATTTAGCTCTGAGCTACTGCACCATTCAAATCAGATAATAGCCGATTGGCACTGAACTACATAATTTTGAAAACCTTATGACCTCGAGGGTCATAATCTCCAGATTACTGCCCGAGCCACGTGCAAATTGGCTTAGGGATAAGAAAATTAGGGAAGTAAACACGTGGCTAAGGGAGTGGTGTGGGAAAGAGGGGTTTCATTTCATGGGGCATTGGCATCAGTTTTGGAACCGGAGGGATCTGTACCGATGGGACGGTCTCCACCTGAACCGATCTGAAACCAGTGTTCTTGCGAAAAGGATAAATAGGGTGGTCACTAGGACTTTAAACTAGTGAGTTGGGGAGGAAGGGAAAGGGAAAACGACAGGGAGTATGATGGTAAATGAAAAGGTAAGCAGCAGGTTAGCATGTGTGCAGGAGGGTTTAAATTCAAGGCAGACTATGAAAGAAGCAAAATGGAAGGATAACTCAGGAGATATTATTAGAAATGTTGGAAATCATGAGGGTAAGAAAGCTAGCATAAAGGCACTTTACCTGAATGCTCGTAGCATTCGTAACAAGGTTGATGAGTTAACGGCACAAATCATCACTAATGAATATGATTTGGTAGCCATTATGGAGACATGGTTACAGGATGGTCACGACCGGGAGTTAAATATCCAAGGGTACCAGACTATTCGGAAGGACAGACAGGAAGGTAAGGGAGGTGGTGTAGCTCTGATATTCAAGGACGACATCAGGACGGTGCTGAGAGATGATATAGGTTCTATGGAGAATGAGGTTGAATCCATTTGGGTGGAAATTAGAAATTCTAAGAGGAAAAAGTCATTGATAGGCGTAGTCTATAGGCCACCAAATAATAACATCACATTGGGGCGGGCAATAAACAAAGAAATAACTAATGCCTGTAAAAATGGTACGGCAATTATCATGGGGGATTTTAACCTACATGTAGATTGGTCGAACCAGCTCGGTCAGGGTAGCCTTGAGGAGGAGTTCGTTGAGTGTATCCGTGATAGTTTTCTTGAACAGTATGTAATGGAACCAACGCGGGAGCAAGCTATCCGAGACCTGGTCCTGTGTAATGAGGTAGGAATAATTAATGACCTCATAGTTAGGGATCCTCTTGGAAGGAGCGATCACAGTATGGTTGAATTTAGAATACAGATGGAGAGTGTGAAGATAAAATCCAATACAATTGCTTGAACAAGGGGAACTACAATAGAATGAGGGAGGACTTGGCTAAAGTAAACTGGAAACAAAGATTTTATGGTGGGACAGTTGACGAGCAGTGGAGGACTTTCAAAGCAATTTTTCAAAGTGCTCAGCAAAAGTATATTCCAATGAGAAGGAAGGACTGTAAGAAAAGAGGTAATTTGCCATAGGTGTCTAAAGAAATAAGGGAGGCTATCAAATTGAAAGAGAAGGCATACAAAAAGTGGCCAAAAACAGCATGAAACTAGAAGATTGGGAAAACTTTAAAGGTCAACAGAAAGCCACAAAAAGAGCTATAAGGAAAAGTAAGAAAGAACATGAGAAAAAACTAGCACAGAATATAAAGACAGATAGGAAAAGTTTCTATAAATATATAAAACGAAAAAGAGTGGCTAAAGTAAACGTTGGCCCTTTAGATCATGAGAAAGGGAATTTAGTTATGGGATATGATGAAATGGCCAAGGCATTGAACAGGTATTTTGTATCGGTCTTCACAGTGGAGGACACTAATAACATGCCAGCAATAGACAAAGAGACGAAGGTAGGTGAGGACCTGGAAACAATCATAACTACGGAAGAGGTAGTGTTAGGCAATCTAATGGAGCTAAGGATTGATAAGTCTCCTGGCCCTGATGGAATGCATCCCAGGGTACTAAAAGAGATGGCGGGAGAAATAGCAGGTGCACTGGCGGTAATTTTCCAAAATTCGCTGGACTCTGGGGCAGTCCCAGCAGATTGGAAAACAGCAAATGTGACGCCACTGTTTAAAAAGGGAAGTAGACAAAAGATGGGGAATTATAGACCGGTTAGCTTAACCTCTGTAGTGGGGAAAATGCTTGAGTCTATTATCAA